GCAGGTTCCTCCTGTGGGGCCAAACCCCCTGCGCTTGTCGGCTCTCTGGGAGTGAGGAGACCCGACCCCTGCTTGGCTGGACCCCGGCCAGAACTTTAAATGACTGAACCCCTATTGCCTAGCACCCGGACCCAGGGCTGAGCCTTCTGTGACCATTGAACTATTTGTGTTCCCCCCCTTGCCTGGCACCCTGACCCCGGGCTGGGCCGTAGGGGCTGTTGCTTGCCCAACAGCCAGGCTGAAACATGCCTTACATACTGGTGGGCACTCTAGGGAGTGAGCGGTGCCTCCCCCCGACTAAGGACCCTTTACAGATAGCTGCAGAAATAACCATTTTAAGAGTATCTATTGAGGTTAACTGGGCAAAAAAAAAACTGGAATTTTAAATTAGGCTCAGTCATGGCTACAATGACCACCTGCCTTCATTCACCTAGATGGGGGTACGTAGAATGGGTGTAGTATTGTGGTTGGTGGTATGTGATAGCATTCAAATTACTGGGCGCTGTACAAACACAAGAAGGGATACTTTGCCCCAAAGTGCTTACAACATAAAAGGACACACAAGGCAAGGGAAAGTGACAGTGTACAAGCAAAAATGGTGACGATGTAGAGTTGGTATTCAGTGTTGAAGTGTCTGGAGGAATGGGAGTGGGGTATAGTTTTGTTGGCTTGAGAGAGAGAAGTGAGAGTGTGAGAGGAGGAAAGTGAAGTGGGGGAGGAGTGTGAAAAGCATAATGTTTAGGAAGGTTGAGGTGAAACAGCTTAGTGATTGCAGTGATGTAGGAGAGAGGCCAGATGAAAGAGCCAGAAACGACTGGTAAGGCAGTGGTGTATGTGTCTGTGTGTGAGAGAGAAGTATGAAGTCCATATTTCATAGTTGATATAGTAAATATTGTGTTAGATATGTGATGCCTCTTGGTCCAGTAGGAATGAGCTGGAAAACCTTGACTTGAGCCTGTGTGTTTGGCTGATGCTGGCTGCTTGAAACAAAAACTTCAGAGAGTCAAGGGCTTTCTGAAGTCTGCCCTTTTACATGTGTGAGAGAAAGCGAGCAGAACTCTTCAGTGAAAAATAAAACCCTCTTAAGAGAATATTTCATAGCTTTCCACAAGGTATATTGGCGGCTCTTTGGGGCTTCATTAGATTACATACTGGCTTGTCACTATAAATAAGAGGGAAATAGCACTGACCTAATTAATTAAAATGATTTAATTTGTATTAAATCTGTATTACCATACTTTTTCTATATGTATATATACACACACATACAGGACTCAACAATTAGTGTAATCTACTCACCCATGGCGAGTACATTACAAGCTGGCACAGCCGCACAGCATGGTCTGCACATGCACAGCATGCCGAACTGCGCAGCTGGCGAGCAGGGCTCGCCACTGCTTGGCAAGCCCTGTGTGTGTGTATGTATAGATAGATATTTCCAAATTCAGTGGTTTTGATCTAACAGTTTACAAGTATATCCTATTCTTATTAATTTTTTGTTTTGTTTTTTAGATGTAAACAAAATGAAATAAAATCCATGGGCGGGGCAGGGGGGGGCCGCGTGTACCTATAACCTTTCTAAGTTTTGTAATGAGGTTTCAGGTGGAAGAATGTTCTCAGGATATAAAATCAGAAATTAATTTTTCAAATCATGAACACACTACATGAATTTGTCTGTTTCCTTTCATAAAGGTCGTGGCCGTCCTCCTACGGAACCATTACCTGATGGATGGATCTTCCTGTATTTCTGCAAAGAGAATCCAGAGTTGTTACCTGGTCCAGACCTTATTTCTTGGGAACAGGAAGCATAAGGGTAGGAGTCTAAGCTGCTAATTATAATTTTAATATTATGCATTACCTAAAAGTATTAGGCAACAAACTTCCCTGTAGTGTTAACATCTTATTTCAACTAGTTTCTTTTTCGAGTGCTTTGCCCATGTCTATTCAATAAAGTGTCAAGTATCAGAGGAGTAGCCGTGTTAGTCTGAATCTGCAAAAGCGACAAGAAGTCCTATGGCACCTTATAGACTTAACAGATTTATTGGAGCATAAGCTTTCATGGGCAAAGACCCACTTTGTCAGATGCACCCATGATCTGCAGCAGAACTCCCACAGATTACAATAGCTGTCTGTAAAACTTGAATTTACCTTAATACCACTCGTTTAAATCGAAACATTCACTGAATTATCTGAAAGCATATCTTAAGTTTTGTAAATATAGGGTATGTCTACACTACAGCGTTATTTCAAAATAGCTTATTTCGAAGTAACGCTTCTAGACACAAAATGCATTTCGAAATAGCGCGTCCACAGTGATAGGATGCTAAATCACATTTAAGGCCGTCTGGAACCAGTTCTGGCAGGGCTTTGTGTGGCTGAAGCTTGTGCTTAAAGGGACCCCTCTGGACAGCCAGTTCTCAGCTTTCCCTGCTTGCTTGCCTACCTCGCTGAGGGACAGTAAAGCATTTTGTCTCTGCGTGCTCTGGTTGCCCTCACTCAGGACACCACAGCACTCTGCAACATGGAGCCGGAGCCGCCCCTGGGCAGTCTGGTGCTTCTCCTGGACCTGTTGCTGCGAGCCTGGCAGCACATTTTGCAGGCAGTAACAGTCTCCCTGGTGTGCCCCACTGGGGACTTGGGCCTCATTCCTCCCTCACGTCCTTCCACTTACCCCTCCCTAACCCCCCTTCCTGCTGTACAATAAAAGACACATGTTCATTACAACAAATCCTCTTTATTGAACAAAACTGGGGTGGGGGGGGAATGAAACTGAAGTGAGACTGGGGAAAGAAGGTGAGAGAGGGGAGGGTGGGAGGAGGGAGCTGGCAGGGGGAGCCAGGGGGAGGAGAAGCTCATGGCTCAGGGTTGGGGGTCTCGCCAGCCCAACTGTCTCCCAGCACCACGGGAGTGAGTGCCTCAGCATCCCTGGGTGTGGGGAGGAAGAAGCGGGAGGGGAAGAGGCAGCAGGGGCTGGGAAAGGCAGGGGGCGGGGGAGGCAGCAGGGGCTGGAGCAGCAGGAGGCAGCAAGCTCTGCCCCAGGGTCGATGACCACCTGGGGGGCACGGACCGTCCTGCCCTCAAGGATGCGGTCTATGGCATCAAAATAGGGGCAGGGCTCTGGGTCTGCTCCTGGTTGGGAGCTGCCCCCTGTGGCCCTGGCATATGCCTGCCACAGCTCCTTTATTTTCATGTGAACCTGCTCCTGGGTTCGCATGTGGCCTTTGGTGGCCAGGCTGGCAGCCATCCACCTGTAGACGGTTGTGTTCCTCTGTTTAGTGCGGAGATCATGGATGTTGGAGGCATCCCCCCAAACCTGAATAAGGTCCCTGATCTCCGCACTGGACCAGGCAGGTGCCCGCCTTTTCCAGCCCCTGGAAGGCTTCTGGGAGCTGGTAGACTGGTCCTGGGGAGCAGTGGAGGGCTGGCTCATGCTGGGGCCACTGGGTCAGGTGCAGCAACTGCTGGCTCTGGGCTGGCAGACTTGGAGCTGGCACAGGCACTGTGGCCAAAGTCTATCCCTTTAAGGGCTCCGGGGAGTGGGAGAGGAGTTTTCTTGGTTGTACCCAGAGTGGCCCCCAGAGTGGCCACCAGGGCACCCTGGGAAAGGCTGGAGGCCCCCCTATTTCTAAATAAGTGTCTACACCGCACTTATTTTGAAATAGCAATTTCGAAATTGGTGCTATTCCTCGTGGAATGAGGTTTACCAATTTCGAAATAAGCCCTCCACTATTTTGATTTAATTTCGAAATAGCGGTTTGGCTGTGTAGACACTGGTAAAGTTATTTCGAAATAACTTTGCTGTGTAGACATACCCATATTGATTTGTAATTTAACAAAACTTTTATTGTTCAACCTAATTTTTTTTTTTTTTAATCAAAGCTTTATTCTGTTCTGGAGAGGGAATGGGGGAAAAAAACATAGCTATACCTATTTTTTTAAAGAGCTAGGGTGCCCTGGGGATAGGTGAAGTATAGGCACCTAAGTGGAATTATGTAATTGTACTGAAAGTTATAAGAAACTCTCTTATCTGTTTTAGTTTGAATAAAGTACTGCATATTATTGGACCAACTTCTGCTGGAGAGAGATACAAGCCTTGTACTAACAGAAGTTTATCCAATAAGAGTATAACAGCAGCCATACTGGGTCAGACCAATGGTCCATCTACCTTAGTATCTGTGTTCTGACAGTGACCAGTGCCAGGCACTTGAGGGAATGTACAGAGCAGGTAATCCATCAAGTGATTCATACCTCATTGCCCATTCCCAGCTTTTGGCAACAGAGGCTAGGGACACATCAGAGCATGGTTTATCATAACCATTGATAGACCTATCCTTCACGAAGTTATTCAATTCTTTTTTGAACTCTGTAATAATCTTGGCTTTCACAGTATTCTGACAAAGTTCCACAGGTTGACTGCTTTGTGTGAAAAAATACTTTGTTTTGTTTGTTTAAAATCTGCTGTCTATTTCATTTGGTGACACCAGTTCTTGTGTTACACTTCTCCACACCGGTCATGATTTTATAGCCCGCTATCATATTCCTCCTTAGTTGTCTCTTTTCCAAGCTAAGTCCCTGTGGGTATGTCTACACTACCACCCTAGTTCGAACTAGGGTGGTTAATGTAGTCAACCAAAGTTGCAAATGAAGCCCGGGATTTAAATATCCCGGGCTTCATTTGCATCTTGCCGGGTGCCACCATTTTTAAATCCGCAGTAGTTCAGACTCCGTGCCCCGCGGCTACACGCGGCACGGAGTAGGTAGTTCGAATTAGGCTTTCTAATCCGAACTACCGGTACACCTCGTTCTATGAGGAGTAACGGTAGTTCGAATTAGAAAGCCTAATTCAAACTACCTACTCCGTGCCGCATGTAGCCGCGGGCATGGAGTCCGAACTAACGGGGATTTAAAAATGGCGGCGCCTGGCAAGATGCAAATGAAGCCCAGGATATTTAAATCCCAGGCTTCATTTGCAACTTCAGTTGACTACATTAACCACCCTAGTTCGAACTAGGGTGGTAGTGCA